ATAACAGCATCGACTTATCCCGCACTGAATAAGGATTATCCATCGGATAGCGCATCCGCCCTTCGTACAACCGGGCGCAGGCTGATACGACCACGGGTTTAGTTTGCCTTTTAAAAAATCGGAGATGTGCCGCCCAGACCATTTGCTAAGTGACGGGTAGCGACTCCAGGTTCATGTCTTTGCAAACCACTTATCTATACTACTCATTGATTCATTTCTTGATGTTGTGTTTCTAAATCAAGGTCAACAAAACCGTTTCTCAACTAATTCGCAACTGTCGCAACAGATTTCCCGTGAGTAGCTTTATCGAAGCATGGCATGGCATGAGCTTGAAAGCACAAATATCGGGAAGGACTCACATAAGACTAGAGAAATTTTAGAATTTTCGATTAAAATTAGCACCTTCATTTGGTAAAGTTGAATCCTTTTTGACCGACATCATTTAACGGCACGACGTTACATTCTTCACTTCTTTTATGCATGYAGACTTCCTACGTAAAGTTTGGCTATTGCATGTGGACGTGAATGCATGCAAGCATATTTCGTTGATCCAATGTTAAAGAAAATAGATTCCAAAGAGGTGTTTTGAAATCCTGTGAAAACGTTACTCAAATCAACGAGAAACTTCGCGTCAATGATGGACATCAATTAGTTACACAAGTTATATGAAAAGTATATTTGCGAAACCTGCAAACATATATAAAGTTAGTCGAATTCTAAGAAAGGTGCTCAACTGAGAAGTAGCGTACAAGGAAAAAGAATAGAGAAGCCAACAGCAGCAGAAATAGCAACGTTATAACACGGGAAAATGGAGCTTTAACCTAAAAAAACAACAAAATATACAAAATAGGAAAAACATAAGMAATAAGAAGGGTCATTCCATCATATATTTTCGATGCATGAAGTCACCCTTTCCAATACAACAGCAACATCCTTTCCTTTCAATGTTAACTATTATTAATCTACGTTTTTCGATTCTTCCAGGTTGTCAGAGCTACTTCAAACACTTCTACTCGAGTCAAGTCGTACTTCAGCCGAACCATGTCCCATACTGGCCAATCAGGTAGCGCGAGTATGTCATCATCTAACTCCACCAAACGAACCAGTRCCTACTGCAACGCTTCATTCGATGCTGGTCGHGTCTTTGAGATGCCTTCTTGTAAGTCTGAGATGAATAGGAACAAGATAACTGTCGATTCAAAGGACCCTACCACCGATACCAATGCTGGTATTATGGCCAATGGGAATCCCCCTAATGGAGTCACCCAAAGCCCCGCTGAAGATGTCACCAAGCAAGACAACACCAATGCAGTTCTTAAGGTTCCCCTACAAGTTAAGAATTCCGGTGTGGGTTTTGATGCCTATTTTGGGACTGAAAARCTGTCTTTTGAGCAACTTGAAAAAAACAGCGTCCGCCAAGACACGGGATCTCCAAACCAGAGGTTTTTCCGAAGAGCAAGATCTGTCATAGTAAAACTGTCATCCAATGATTCACATCCTAAGCGGGCAAACTCTCTAAGCGAACATATTGGAAGACGGAGACCTTTGTCTAAGCAAACCTCAAGTGACAGCAGCTATAGTGGAAATAGCAACACCCATACTGTTCAGTGGTTGTTGATAAACAGAATACACGAGAACTATAGACAAACCGGATGATGTAGATGGCTGGGAATGGGAAAAGTATGTTGAACTATAGAAATTCATGGAAAGGCATGCCTACTTTTCCCTTCTCCAGAAATCCTTTACGACAAGTTTTCGTTCATTTTTGTAAACATCTTTACGAGTTTTGTCCAGTAAACCGTGAAAGACATCAGAATCAAAGCCGGCTACGACGTCGCGCTTAGCCCAGGCTAAACTACCATTCCATGGTCATTAAATTAAGAGTATAATCTAAATTTTTACTATAAATCAAAGTCTCGACGAATTTAAGTCGCCTCTAAAACTCCCATTTCCATTCCTAATTGCAAAACAAAAGTTTGTGATATAACTTTGATTCGATTCGAGACAACTTGCAAATATTATAAGCCTTTGCAGGACACTTGATTATCAGAATAACGAGACAAGTTACGTGGAAACATTCCCTGCGTAAAACCACTCTTAGATGGATATTTCCCTGCGCCACGTTGAAAGGTAGCCGTGCCTTTCAAGATGGCGCAGGGATCTATGAAAGGGATTATTGCGAGACAAGTTGTAAGTAAAATTCCCTGGTGTAAAATCACTTTTAAATTAATATTTCAGTCTCGGCTGTGGTTTAAAAAATCCTCCGAGTTCGCGAAAACTGTAACTTTACATACGACACTGACCAAGGACCTACACCCTTGTATATATAGTATTTATGATAGCATAAGATCGGACTAAGTTATTTCGGATAAACATTTAATGGAAAATGCATGGCTGTTAATCATATCAAGTCGCGGGTAGGCTTATATTGATGTGCCATTTTCTTATTATTTGAAACGATATTTCATGTTATTATATTAGTAAGAGTCAAGTTCATATTCCTGTTTGGAGTTAGTTCATCAAGGTGCATTGTGGTCTAGCTTGGGTCCAAATGAGTTCTCTTAACCCAGGCTGGACTAAAATGTTATGAAAATTGACCAATAAGACGAGGTTATCTAAGGGACTCTAACAATAGTTAGAATTTTGGATTTTAAATAACTGATTTAATGTAACGTTTGTACTATTAAGGTGTCTCCGAGATTGATAACATTCAGTTTATTCGAGAGAGCGCCTCACCTAGYTGTAGATAGTACCAGAAATCACTGAATATTAAATAAAAAAAGTTATAGAAAATGACATAAGGTTTGGTCCTGCGCCTTAATTCTGATGGTGAAAGGAAAGAAGGAAGGCATGTGGAGATGGGAAGATGGAAAGATGAGATGAGAAAGAAAGGAAGAACGAAAGAGGGAAAAATTGATTCCCATTCGTTAGTGAACCAGGTGTCAACATGAGACCTTCGTGGTGAATTTCTTTGTGGGATTAAGGGAAAAGAAAGAAAATCTACAAGGAAGCCTAAAAGGATGGGAGAAAACGAGAAACTGAAGCAATAGACCCCTTGCAGCACGTCAGAATGCAGCTCAATTTGGAGAGCAGAACAATAAGTTTGCAATTCTCAGCTGAAATCCTTTTGTTTCGTTCTGCAGATTGAGCTCCTTTGGCGTTACATACAAGGGGTCTCTTCTATGCGTTATTATATCTCAGTTTAAGAGATTTAAGAGAAGGGGAAAAGGTGAGGAAAAAAGGTGTGAGTCGCGAAAGGGAAAGGAAAGAAATGGCGGGAAAATAATGAAGGCTTATCCTAAGTTCCTAAGATCCTAATAGAGTGCACGCGGCCAGCAGAGTGATAACAGCTTTCAGTCACTCGTTTAAAGATTCCTTTGGTATGCTGTAACTCTCTCTCTCTCTCTTTGATATTTGTTGGTAATATTTTGTTAGGCCCCCGTCCATTTGTTTGGTGCACCGTCTCGCTTAACGATCTTCCTCTTGTAGTGGACACATAGTACTGCACGACTACCGACGGCATGCATGGCTAGTTCGTTCCTCACGGCACATTTCGTCTCAGACTACACTAGGTCAGAGTAGGAGGTCTATTCACCAAAAGCTCCATGTAGCGAACCYAACTTCGTCTGAAGTAAAAACAATGCAATCTACGCGTAGCAAACATTTCTGGTATTCAAAACACAGCAATCACTCTTGATATTTCACGCTACATACTTTAAGATAAAAGAAAMTATCTTAAACAAGTGGCATCCTGTAGATCATGTATTAAACATGTAAGTTCAAAGGGTACCGATGTCAGTACTTTGACTGATCGCAATGATGAAAAGATAAAGAATAGAATAATATTACCACAAAGAAAAGAGACCTCGTTGTTCTTTTACTTTTAAGAGAAAATCTAAATCTTAAAATTTAAAATCAAATGGTATTTACATACTACTCCATGTGGACGGTGGAAAGCTATAAGCCTAACAGGTTTTACAATCAACTTAACAGGGCTACCGATAACTCATTGATTAATAAATTAATATTTATTATTCAACATCAGCAACAACATCAGCAACAACAATAACAGCAGCAACAGCAACATCAGCAACAACACTAGCAACAGCAACAACAGCAGCAACAGCAACATCAGAACAACAGCCGCAACAGCAACATCCGCAACAACATCAGCAACAATAGCAGCAGGAACAGCAGCAACAACAGCAGCAGGAACATCAGCAACAACAGGAAAAACAGCAACAACTGGAACAGTAGCAACGACATCAGCAACAACAGCAACAACAGCACTGAACAGCAACAACAGCAACAACAGCAGCAACAACAACAGCAGCAACAACATCAACAACGACAACAGCAACAACAGGAACAGCAGCAACAACAACAGTGACAGCAATAGCTTGAATTGGAACCCGGGTCACGTTGGTAAGAGGCGAAGCATTAGCAGCGTACTCCACCCGCGCTTCCCCAAATAAGAAAAAAAGTAAAAGAAAACTAATAATTGCATTAGGAATATACTTGCATTGAGATCTAAGTTGTACTTTTTGTCCTTCCTTCTCTTACGTCTGACTCCAGCATTCCCGTCCCCCCGGCCAGGGGTCTAATTTCACCCCTCTATCCTCCTACCGAGGCTGTGTTTTCACTAGGACAACTTAAACTAGCTTAAATATAACACCGGAAATAAGGCAAAGTTAAACTACCTAGCAAGATGGTTTAAGTTGTCTTACCAAATAAATGGGCCAATCACAGTGTTATTCTTGAAAGGTGGTTGTCGGATTAAAACGCCTCCAGGAATTTTAGGCAAGTTAACATTCCTAGTGAAAACACAGCCTCGTCGCGAGTCTGCCTGAACAGCACAAGAATCAAGAACCACATCAAACACCTTGGCCTATGACCTACCAAGGGCGATAATACCCACAGACTAAACTGTCGATGATAACCAGAATCACTCATCACTTGTCACTTAATAGACTAGTTAATAACTATGAGCTGATCAGAAAAAGTATTGTCTAACAAAGACCAGTAACCATGGCAACTCAACCTAGGGAAATGGGGTGATCTAAACCCCCGGTCTAAACCCCCTAAAATAGGTTGTTTGAGTATTATATGAGGGCCGCGATTCTATTTTGTCAAAATTTTGGGGTCAAAGACTTTGCTGATAGCACGTACTGAAAGAAAATCGTTGATGAACCGATAAATCAACGAAAATTTTAGCTTAAAATTTTGTTTAAATGTGTGAAAAAGCGCACAAAAAGTGTTTTATGATGAAAGCGGACAACGTAAACTTGCTGAGCCGGTTGCGGTAGCGATGGCACATCTTGACAACGCTACTCATTTGATGAATGAACGCTGTTGGTCACACAAAGCGGTCACGGACATGGCAAGGTATGTCCGTTAGAAACTTAGTTTAATACTGAAATAGCTTCCATTCTCATCCAATCAAAAACCGAGAAAGCGCACAATAGCCAATCACAGTGCTTAAATCCTGAACCCCTCTAAAAATAGGTTATTCTCTCTTATCCTTTTTAACTAAATAGGATTGGGTTTCCTGCGATACGAGTTATTTCTATTGTAAAAACGTTGTCAAAGCTATCCTTTGTGATAATTATTGATAAAGATCTCAAAATCATTCAATCGTTTACCGGGTACTTCCGGAGGTTGTTTTTAAAAAAATTAAAAAAGTATTCTACGAATGTTGTATTCAAAAGCATTTCGCCAAGTATCCGAATGGTTATCGATTGCATGCGGATATGATTATGTGAAAATTTATTACAACTTGAATTTTTCCGCATAACTTTTTTTAAAATGTTGAGAAATCAAGCTAGGGAATGATGCTGCGACAATTCACATGAAAATACGAGTATAATATTTTYCCGGGCATTTTTCGTTATTTTATAAGATGAATAGAATGCGCGGACTGGTTCAGTGATGAAATACGTCACAAACCAGAGTATCACTTTTCAAAATTTCTGCCGCTTACCATTAACGATTCAAGCAAGACAACTAGAAATCGTCAGATACCTAAACAAGGCTAAACAACTCGCATTCTCTACAAACGAAACACAGAGACAGTGGCCTAAACGAAGGTAAAGCGATTATTAGACGATTTTATTAGCGTAGTAAGTGATTTGATTGAGCAGTGTTCAATTAGGATTACTTCTCATGGCACGCTTGATCGCCAGCTAGTCGTAGCGTGTGTTCGATGATAATATTGCTACCCATTTCTTGGAAAAGAAAGGCTTAAACAATCTGCTTTACCAACAATTGCTATTCCAACTCATTTTTCTCCTGTTATAACATTGTTTGACTTGATATTAGACAGTTTAGAGAGATTGATCTTGTGAAACGTGCTTGCCTTCTTCCCTCATAGATGTGGTTTGTAGATGTTTACGTTTGCGTAGTACACGCTTCACCAAGGTCATTGAGTTGGTAGTCTCGAGATTTTTTTGTTTAAAGTCATCGATCAATCCAACATTTGTATCAAATGTAAGCATATTTCCCTCTTACTTTAGTTAGATAACCATTTTTTGTCCTGTTTTTTCGTTATCTTTCTTAACTAATTTTCTTATCATCTTGAGTCTGGTTTATTTTAAGGATTTCAATCACGTTTTCTAAAATTATTTTGTAAGAATCATGACTAGAATAGTAACTTGGGCATCTAAAAGCAATGAAAGTTTTGGGATCCAAGTTTTGCAGCCTATTAGATCACTGAATGCAAACGCTTTGTGAAGTGGCCTAAAAATACTTCAATCTACCAGCATTTCAAAAGTTATTTTAAAATATAATAGTACATTCCTTATCGGCATAAAAACAAGAGCTAGCGGTTTATCGTTACAGCCAAATTCCTTCCATTGAAGCGCAAAACATTTGGCTTTCGCTTTTCGCAATTTTCTGACGAGCGAATTAATCAAATCATCGATGAAAATCGAATACAGACGAGTAAAACAAAATAGGATTAAGTGATTATATAACGTGGAACTTTCTACTTCAAAATTCCCCCAAATAATACTAATAATCGTAGCGTATTTTTGTAGAAGTTAGATAAACAGCCAGAGATTCGAAGGATGGTAAAAATTGCACGAATTTAGTTCAACTAAATCTTGTTTTTTATTCATTAGTTTTAATGAAAACAATAGACACCGAATTACCGGAAGTCTGAGATCGTTTCAAAACAAATTATTTTCAATAATATTCGTGATAGTTTCTTATATAAACGTCTGCTTATTTGTTTATAGTTAATATATATTTAATATTTATCGATATATTTAATGACTATTCTTTCTGTTAAACTCCGAAACGCCTTAAAACTTATATAGAAAATAATCATTTTTCAATAATTCAATCCAAAAAAAAAAAAAAACTTGGCAAGAATTCACAGACAGCGACTTTTTAAGAGCTTTTGACGTTCAGGAAATAATTTATAAAGAAAATACAGACTTGTGACAACATTATTATCTTATCTAACAAGTAAATTGCCAACGTGATAGTAAAGAATGTACTATAATTATCGAGAACACTCGGAACGTTTAATTCCTTTGTATTTTTAGACGTAATGTTTTTGTTAAAATTATATAGTAGTTTTTATATTTTCTATGGTGAATAGTCACCGCTTAGGGTCTCGTTCCATTCATTCTTCGTTGATTCATTGTTTTTATTTCACTAGGATCAAAATATTCAACATATTTTGATTAATTTTCGCTACGAACATCCAGTTTTATTTTACATTTTTTTATTTATTTTGGGTTTTCTGTTGCTAATCTGTACAAAATACCCAATGGAAGTAAGATCTCAGTTAAAATGTCTTCAAATCTATTTATCTAAGCTAGCTTTAAAGATTGGAAAAATTGGAAAAATTCTCTACGATGAAAGCTTATGTTTTTGTTAATATCAAATCGATTCGCATCTCGTCGTTCAACTCTGGTTTTCTTTGGATGTTTGTCAAGCTATTTTGTTTTGTCATACTGTATTTCTTTCTTGGCTGATGAAGTCTAGACATTCTGTTCATACCATTATTCCTCGTGGTGGTCTTATTCATCAGCTAAATCTACCCCTTCGTGTGAGGACTACAGACTCACCGCCAAAATGCTATCAATATGACTGTCTTGTTTATTAGTGTTACACGCGAACAGCTACAAAGCTCAAACTCTGTATCATTTTTTGCATACCCAAAGAAACTGAAATATGTGTTTTTAACTTATTCCTATTTCTTTTATTAAAGACGAGTAACTGAAAATTTCATAACGTGTTTCCAGAAACATGTTTACCGCGCGCATGTTTCCTCGATGTTTCCCAATTTAGCCACATGCGAAACATTGCTCCGTGCAACAAATTTTGCTTCCAAGACGCAAAATATGTTTTTGCTGTGCGGCAGAAACATTTCATGTTTCCAAGAAGCATGGAAACATYGTTTCCCTATGTTTCCTGACAGTTTTGCCGCCTTAGGAAACATTTAGGGAAACATGTTTCCTCGTTTAGCCAGGGTTTTACTAAAACCTCTTGTTACTAGTATTAGAAAGAATTCGAAGTGACGTAATGAGCTAGAAATAAAAGACCTAGTTGCTAGGCAACAGGACTCCAACAAAAAAAAAATTTGTACTAACTTTAATCTACTACGAAAATTAATGAAAGCAAGATATACAAAAGGAATTGATATTATGATACACCAGAAAAAAATGTATCGGTACAATAGAGCTTTTACTTCATTAAATTTTGATTATCTTAATTTTAACAATTTTTAAAAGTTGCGCTTTCATCACTTCATCAATTCTAATGAATGCGTTGATAACATTTAATTGCCCTGGGGGGTATAATGTTCGAGTTCTGATCACATACTGCTCACTTTTAATGTTAGCGCTAAATACAAAACTGAATCGGAGTTTTGATCTCTACAAAACTAATCGTCGCGCAAGACATCTATCTATTTTCTCTTAAAAAATATAAACATCTTTAAGTGTCTAGTCGTTCTAGCGCTTTTGCACTAATCGAGAACACTCACACACACACTACCGCTACATTCCAGGCCATTCAATGTTCTATGTTCACATGTTGATTTTTATAAATTTGTTAAACTGGATATACAACCAGAAATCATCGCTGCCATAGTACGAGTTATGTGGTCGTCTTGCGGTCGTTTTGTGGTCGTCTTGTGATCGTCTTGCGGTAGTTTTGTGGTCGTCTTGTGATCGTCTTGTTTTCGTCTTGTGGTCGTCTTGTGATCGTCTTGCGGT